TCATGGAGGGGGAGAGTTGGTGTGGGATAACGATGGGTTTGGGGGGATCTGGGTCAACACCAAGAGTGGGTTTTGGGGGGTGGGTATGTGTTGTGTGGTCATAGGAGGGTTTGGGGGGTCTGGTTTAGGACCATGGGTGGGGTTGGGGGTGGGGGGGATCTGGTATGTGGTCATGGAGGGGGGTTGGGGGATCTGGTGTGGGGTAAAGGGGAGGTTTAAGGGGGGCCTGGTTCACGACCATGACGGGTTTGTGGGGGTTGTGGATATTCTTGTGTGGTCATGGGGAGTTTGAGAGGTCTGGTTTAGGGCTATGGGCGGGGTTTGGGGAGTCTGGTTCCTGGTCCTGGGCTGGGGGGGGGGTTGGGGGTTGTGGGGGTCTGGTGTGTGGTCATGGAGGGGGTTGGGGGGTCTGGTTTAGGACCGTGAGTGGGGTTGGAAGGTTGTGGGTTGGAGGGGGTCTGGTGTGGGGTAATGAGGGATTTTGGGGGGTCTGGATCAAGACCCTGGCTGGATTTGGAGGGTCTTGACTCGGGGTTATGGGTGGGACTGGGGGGACCTGGCTGGTCACACGTAAGTTCAGGGAGGGTCCAGTTTAGGGCCCTGGGTGGGTTTGGGGGGTCTGACTCGGGGTTATGGGTGGGACTGGGGCACTGAGCCTCACCCAGAGCAAGAATGGGGTCCCTGCACCCCCTGCTGTTTTGGGGTGAGGGGTAACAGGCTTTCCCAGCCTTGTGGCCCTTGGGGGGGTCTCCCACCCCCCCCACTCTGACCCCCCTCCCCCTGCAGAGACTCCCACCTTCCTCACCCTGCGGGACACGGGGCTCCCCAGCACAGCCCCCCGCCGGCCCCCCCTGCGCCCCACGGCCTTCTCAGGTGGGTCCCTCCCCAAAACCCACCCGGGGTGGGCATGGGGGGCGGGGGGCTGGGTGCCGCCCCTCCCCCGCCTGTGCCCCCATCCTCTTTTTCCTGTTTCCCTCCTTTTTCCCCTTCCCCCCTTTTCCTTTCCTCCCTCTCCTTTGCCCCCTTTTCCCCCTTCCCCCCCTTTTCCCGTCCTTTCCCCCCTTCCCCCTCTTTTCT